GACAGTTAAAATGATTTTGTCTCCGCATTCCAAATTCAGATATATACAAGTAAAGTTTAGAAATTCAGTTGTAATTTTTTTTCAGGTTTCTGAAGTTGAATTTTCTCCAGTGTATGTACCAGTTTTTCTTTACTTTTTTTTCTTCTCTCATTGAGGTAGTTGAGCAGATGAGCGAAAAGATATCACAGCTAGCGCCAGTGAGGTGCTGGTCTTGCAGAAAGCCATTGTAGGTTCAGAAACTTAGAAACACCCACAGCAGTAATGAGGCCCTGAATTTAACCCCCAGTGCCTACACGTGCCAAGGCAGAAGGCAGCCCTTATCACACAACTTCCTGGTCTCAGAGAACAAGGTGAGAAACAGAGCATCTTCTGTAAACTTCTGGGCACATGCTGACTAGAATGCCCATAGACAAAGGAATGTCAGTCATCTGAGGAGGTCATGTTAAAGCAAGGATAAGGAAAGCATGACCCGAGGTGCCTGCCCGAGAAGTGTTCCTTCCGGCTGCCAGCCTTCCGGGTGCTGGGTCCATTTTATTACCGTTCAGTTCTGCTCTTTATGGTCTTCTGGCTGTGATGTTGTGACGCGTCTCTGTCCTTGCTGGTGGTCAGTCCAGGGAGGAATGAAAGCTCTCTCCTGTAGGCGCTTAAAGCCACCCTCCATGCTCCAGGATCAGAAGCAGCAAGTGTGCTGATTAACCCAGTATACCTTTAAAATGGCTTCTTTATTTATTCATTTCTTTTATATTGGGAGTTGGGGGTGGGTCCACACCCTGCGGTGCTCAGGAACTGTTCCTCACTCTGGTCAGCAGTGACTTTGGGTGATGCCCGGGAACCCATATGTAGTGTCTTTGGGGATGGAATCATCAATTATGTGTCTGGATATTTTTTTTTCAAAAGGAAGGCGAATGCATTGTTTTGTTTTTATCAGAAATAAATTGAGTTTCCACTTAGATTCTATTGATACATCTGTATTCTAGAATGTAGGTTCTATTGGTTCTGGGTTACAAGATGAATTAAGGAGTCCCACTTTCAGGGGAGAGGGGATAGTACAGAATGACAAAGTAGTCTGTAGGAGTGACTTGTTTATTGTGGGAAGCATAGGGGTGCAGTCTTTGTCTTTCTGGGGCCTCTGGGCCAGGTCCTTGATATGGGTATGACTCAATATTTGAAGTAGAACAGAATAGAGGAGGGGAGAATTTCAACAAAGCAAATAGTCTCTAAGTGAAAACTTGAAGGTGGTGGGATTTTAAAAAGTGGATTGTCAATTACTTCAGAATCTTCGGAAATATGTACAGTATTAATAAAAAGTTGGATTGCGGGCTAGAGAGCTAGTACAGTGAGTAGGGCACTTGCCTTACATGCAGCCAACCTGAGTTCAATTCCTGGCACCCCATGATCCCTGAGCATAGTAGAGCCAGGAGTAAGCCCTATGCACCTCCAGGTGTGATCCAGATTCCTCCCACCAAAATTTTGATTGCTTAAGACCAATTTTTTTGGCCTTGAATGATTTTCAAAGACACACACACACACATGCACACACACACATGCACACACACACACACACAGACACACACTATAACTATGCTATCAAGAGTCTATGGGACAAAAGAAAGCCCTGAGGAAAATTTGTGGCGAAATTTTAATATCTTGAATTACTGTGAATGTGGTGGTGATCGGAATGAAAGAATCTGGAGACTAACTTGCGAAGGCATCCCAATATATCTGTAGAAAAGACGTGGTAGAATCCGAATGGGTAAAGCAGAAGGAGATTGTAAAGAAAGAGGTGATAGGAAGTGCCTTTGAAATGTGTATGTCACAAGGTAGGGTAAAGAAAAGAGCGAAAGAGTGAGTTCTCTAGAAATGTCCAAAGCAGGCAAGGTAAAAGTAGGAACTCATGAAAGATCAGAATCTGAATGTAATAAGCCAGTTGAGCATTTGATTGGAAATTTTACTGGAGAGTGATGGAGCAGGAACGCAGGAAAGGTACTGGAAATTGGGATGCAGAATTAAGGGCAATGGAATCAGGGGAAATTCCTTTGATTGAGTTGGAATGAGGAGTGCCCGTAATCAAGAAGGGTGGTTACCAGGTGAGATGTAACGATGAGGACAGAACAGAGGACAGTGTAGGGAACCTAGACCTTGATCTAGGAAAGGAAGAAGATGAATCATGCTCCAGGTGGGCGTAGGGGTGGGGCTTTGGAGTACATGGCATTGGTGGGGTAGTTGATGGGGAAGGAATAGTGAGAGCGATAACTTTCTTGTATTTAATAAGATGCCTGAAGTAGGGATAAATTACTGCATCTGACAACTGGCGGATTGCAAGACTTTGAGGATCAGAGCTATAGATTTTGGACTGTCATGGTGAATTAGGAGATGACTAGTTAGACCAATAGAAGGAGAAGCTACTGACAGAAATTTGGAGATAGATATCTAGGGGAAACACAAAAGTATGAAAGACAGCTTAGATTTTATTGAAATATGTAAGTGATAACTAATGAATGAAAAAACCAGCAAAGAAACTATTGAAAGTGAGAAGTAGGTGCAGTATTTGCTGGGATAGAGATAATGTAAAAGTTCCCTGGAGTCAGTCTGGGTGCTGTAGCCTCTAGTTTCATTGCACTGATGAAGGAACAGCGGGCTGGCTACAGGAAACGACCCAGCCTGACAGGATTCTCCTTTTAATTGGTGAGGCCACTTAATGGATATGTGGGATTCACGTGATCCCTTTCCTTCTGGGTTTAAAGTTTTTCTTTAGCCTTTTTCTACCAAATCTCCAGATTGTGTTCTTTCTTGTTCTTCACTTCTTTTATATATTCAGCTTCAGAATAGTCTGGATATGGACTTCCATATTTTCAGTGCTTATTCTGAGTCTTTGAATCAGAATTCATAGACTTAGAATCTAGAGTCTCTGCTCTGAGAGAACCCAACAGAGAGAACTTACTTAGGAGTAATTTTAGTTGCCTCTTGGGGTCTCTCTGAGACCCCAGTGCAGACTCATTTAGGAGCAGCTCTTTGAGACGTGTCATATCATGTCTCATGTCATGCCTTTTTTCTACCCCCAGAGTACTATAATTTGGGTCTGGTGTGTTTTTTCAATGTAATTTAAAACTGAAATCTAGTCCAGAGGTTTAGACTTCGCTTTGAGTGTTTCAGAGCGTGGTTGTGAGCGAGATGGCTGATAGGGCTTAGAGCATTGATGGAGCCTGGAGAGAACTCTGGCGGCTAGAAGTCCTCATAGTTCTGTGGCAAGAGCCCACTTTCCACTAACTCACAGCTGGAGTACTCAGTGATGGCGAAGTTCATGCAGATATCTGGGACTTCTGTCGTGTGTGACTTTCTGAGAAGTCAGTATCCATTTCTGATTTTCTCCTCAAGACTAATTTGACATGTCAGGAATACACCATCTTTCCACTCCTTGACAATGGCCGTTTCCCCCCCCCCCCCCAGCAGTAGTTTGGGGGTCTGGGACTGCAAGTAGTAGTGACAGCGGACGAGCTCCTGTGGAGGGAGTGTCTCTGTGTCACTGTTGCTGGGCTTCAGGCCCAGGTACTGCATGTGCTGTTCTGGACTGGCCAAGAAGAGCACGTGGCTCCATGCATGTGAAACTGCTGTGAGGTTGTCATTTGTCAGGGTCATGTTTGGGGAAGGATTCTGTGCACACCGCAAGGACAGTTTTGCAATGCTTTGTTCCCTTTGTCACGTGGGCAAGGGCGCCCAGTGCTTCATGACACACGATCAAGGAAGTCGTGTTTGTACTCATTTTTTTTATTATTAGTGAGACACCATGAGGTACAGTTGTAGACTTACAAATTTTGTGCTTGGGTTTCAATTATACAATGATCAAATACCCATCCCTTCACCAGTGCCCATTTCCCACCACCACGGATCCCAGTATCCCTCCCACCCCCCCCATCCCCCCCATCCCAACCTGCCTCTGTGGCAGGGCATTCCCCTCTGTTCTCTCTCTCCTTTTGGGTGTTGTGGTTTGCAAAAGAGGCATTGAGTGGCAATCAAGTTTGGTCTATAGTCTACTTTCAGCATGCTTCTCTCATCCTGGGAGGATCCTCCCTCCGTGAAAACAGATATGTACTCATTTTAATTGTTGTAACCATTCTGTGCTCATTTCATGGACAATCTAATTGGGTTTCAGCAAATCCAGGAGAATCTGGGTTGTGCTGCACACAAGTTGAGCCTAGATTTGAAGCCTTTGTCCTGCTTCAGCATCTCCTTCCTGTAGCAGATCGTTCATAGGTTAGGTCTCTGTGCTGTCATCCAAATGGCCAGCCACGGACTCCTGTTCTGTGTCTTTGATGCCTCGTCCCTATTTGTTTCTTGACTGTAATTTGTTCTCTCAGCTGACAGTTTACCAGCCACCCAGGAAGACAGATAGGGTCTGTTTGAGTACAAAGCCAGGAGAGTTTCGACATCTGTGCAGTGTGTGTGCCTGTGCACGTGTGCCCTTGCTGCATTCCAGAGCACAGCTGAGGCTGGTAGACGGAGCACAGCTGTAACCCAGGGCACATGGGGTCCTGGTTCCATGACTGGAACGTGTCCAGCTCAAACTGCTGTGTTGTTGGCGTTGGTCTGGCCACGGGTGGAGAAGGATTCTGTGCACTTCTCAGGAACGGTTTTGCAATCCCTCTTATTCCATTTTCACACATTCTCATAACAAACACCATGAATCGAGACTTGTTTGCGTAAGACCAAGCTGTGGGTTGCCTGGTTCCTACCCTGTCTGGGGAAATCTGGTTAATGCTGACGTTGTAAACTTTCATTGCTGGGGAGATCTAAGAACAAAGCTTTCTCTTCCTTCTGATTTTAATGCAGCTAAGTTTGTTTTGTAAAATGTGTGATAATGACTGATAGGAGAAAAACTCTTAGCCAACAGCTAAGGTTAGCAAATATCAATTCTCTTGCTTGTAGGCACCTTTAATTAGTTCTTTTAAATATAAAATGATGAAATGAAACTAACAGTGTTTCCTTTTTTGACTGTTTTGCAGAAAAAGCCTCTGTCTGCAATAATAAAGGAAGTCTGTGATGGGTAAGTGTCGCTGAGAATTCATCTGGGGTGCTTCTGTCCATTAATTGAGAGGCATATAAAATATCTCTGTGCAGTGATGAAATATTGTTCATAAGCCACAGTCAGAACTACCCTAAAATTCATGTGCCCTTTCCATGATAAAATGGCCCTACTTCCTCAAAGACCAGAGGAGTGTGAAATGGCTTGTGTGAACACAGGGGGTTGACTTTATTTTGAAAAGTGGTGTCTTGTTCACTCTGCCCAGCAGGGAGCATGCTAAAGTTCCTGGGGTTAAAGACACTCTTGGCCCTCTCTAAACTGAGTGGTCCCCTTATCACTGAAGATAAAACAATCTAAAAGACAATCAGTGAGGTTAGGTGATACTCCTAGTGGCCTCACAGTCAGCTTGTGAAGTTCTTGATCCGATTGTTCTAACAACCCAGAGAAAAGGGCCCGCGGCTCTTACACGCAGCTTACTTTAAAGAAATGTGAATGGAGGTTTTCCTGGAATTTCATTTGGACCTTGAATACTTAAGGCTGGGAGTAGAGCAGTCATCTTGGTGAGGTCTTGGGTTTGATCCCCAGCATGGGGAAGGAAGGGAGGAAGAAAGGAGGGAGGGAGGGAGCGAGGGAGGGAGGAAAGGTGGAAAAGACCTTGAATGATTATGTAAAAGTATACCATGAGGAATTATAGAATACAGACATAATTGAAAAGAATACTATCAGAACTGAATTGCTGGAGGCTGGAGAAATAGTAGAGTGGGTAGGGCTCCTGCCTTGCATACGCCAATGCAGGTTCAGTCTCTGGCACTGCCTGTAGTGATCCCTGAGCACAGAGCAAGAGTAAGAGTAAGCCTGGAGCACAGCTGGGTCTGGCCCAGACCTCCACCCGAAAACTAAAAAGAGAAAACTTGAAAGGCTGCTCTCTCAGTGCTCCCCGGCCATGTGTCTTTGTCCTCATAGCTCGCTCTGTCAAGCTCCTGCTCTCTTGAACACATACTCCTTCCCTGCTTACAGCTTCCTAAGTGAATTTCATTCAATAAAAACCATCTCGCTTCACAAAAGCAAATAAACAAACAAGACAGATTAAAAATCAAACAAAAGCCCCACCAGAAACATGAATTGCGTTCATGGCCTTTTGTTTCCTTCTGCCTGCTGAGTTCTTTAAAATGCTGGGAGAACCAGTGTGGAGCCCACAGGACAGAGCTCATGTTGTGCGTGTGTGGGCAGCCGGCCTGGGTTCATTGCCCAACACAGCACCTTTCAGGGTCCCCTGAGCACTGCTGGGTGTGACCCCCAAGCACAGAGCAGGAGTAGCTCCTAAGTGCATGTGGGTGGGGCCCTAAAACACAAATATAAGGAATAAAGAGGTGAAGACAATGAAATGGCAGGAATATGACTTTATATTTAACCAGTCCCTCCTCCCACTCCAAGGCCAGCAAAGGCATGCTGTAAGATTAGGGTAGTTGAAAGATAGAATAAAAATTTTTTATTTTGAGGACAGAATTGTGGGATTGTTGGGGACTGGCCCGATTCCAATCAGAGGGTGTCAGATTTTTCCAGCCCCATGGAACTTTGAAGACGGAAATGACTACTCTTGTTTTCTGATGAGTTTTTTTTCTTGTTGTTTTAAGGTGGTCTCTTGCCAATCATGAATATTTCGCGCTGCAGCATGCTGATAGCTCAAACTTCTATATCACGGAGAAGGTAAGTCCATCACAGGGGTTAATGTGGGACACATGCTTTTAAGTAAAGTAGAACATGACCAATGCTTCCTTATTTACCACTAAATATGCTGGTCTAACTTTTAAGTCTCTGCTCTACATGCGAATGGAGGCGTCTCAGTAAAGGCAGCCACTGTAGTGTCAGCAAGGGGATATTTAGCCTCTTCTACAGTGAAGACTAACTATGTTTCTGCACCCAGTTTTAGCAACTGCATTTGTAGTGGCAAATATGAGAATTATCTTACTTATTGCTTTGTTAAAGCATTTATTTGATACGTAATGAGTTAGTGGAGCTGCCTTGCTCAGACAATTTTTTTTTAAGAACAATTTCTAAATCCTTCTTAAAGTAGTGGTCACGATACAAGAAACCTTTTCTCAAGATGGCAATTGCATTGGTCCTGGGATTCTGTGGCCCTTGGGGACTTCCTTCTTGGGACATCTCCACTGTTTAGGCCTCTCAGAGGAGGGTGAGGGGGTTGTGAAGACTCCATGATCTCCACAACAAGTCAGGTAACTTGAGATCCCTGACAGAAAGGAGAGTAAATGTAGATGCAGCTTCTTGCGTGCCCGGAATCTCCTCTGCACGTGCAGAGGTTGGTGTCATCTTTAGGCTGTATCAAAGGAACCTAGATCAGTAGCTGCCTTCATGGGTTAAAGGTATTCACAGAGGATCTTCATTAATTTTTTTTTACAAAAGGGGGGGGAAACCCCAAAATAACAATCAGGGTTTCACAGCAGCTGAAGGAGAGGCAGCATGCACCCCCCACCCCCCGCTCTTTTCCTGTGGACTGCTTTATTCATGCCGTGTATTTAACACATTCCTGCTTTTACTGTGTATGTGCTATTTTAGTTCTATGTGTTATTTGGTATAATTCCGTAGGTTATTTTTTGGCTCTGCGATGGCTCTGAAATGTTCCCTATAAATGTATGGAAATTGCCTCTGCTTTACTGCAGTTTGGTTTATGAAATGATTTTCATAGGAAAAGCTGAAGGTGGCAGGGGACCTGCAACTGTGGGGATTTCTTTGGTTTGGTAGAGAGATAAGGAAACGGGCCCTCGCAGGCAGGGAGCCTGGCTCGCATGGCAGGGCTCTCCAGGGCAGAGCTGAAAGCTAGTCCTGATCTTCTAGCTCTTGGGGCGTCCTCCTGAGAATGTCCGAGAAGTTTTGCCCTCAGCTCAGGTGCCTGGAGAGATCACAGAAACGCTTATGAACCTGTGGGGGTCTAGCACGTGGGGCACGTGGTAAACTTGGAGAGGGTGGTCAGAGCTGGCCGCCACTTGAGTCGGCAGGAGCGATGTCAAGCTCCAGGCTTGGTTTGTCCCAATAAGCGGCTTCTCCTTAAGTCCTGAATCCCAGCACATGGAAGGTGAGGCATTGAGAGCCATCGTCGGGTTCCCGCTGTGACATCCTGATCCCTCTCTATCCTGGGTACTGGGGATGGGGGTGGGGCTGAGAGAGAGAGAGAGAGAGAGAGAGAGAGAGAGAGAGAGAGAGAGAGAGAGAGAGAAGAGAGAGACAGACAGACATACAGGCAGACACACAGAGAGACAGACACAGAGAGATAGAGAAAGAGACAGAGAGAAGGGGTTAATGTGCATTTGGCTCAACATGTGTTATCTGAATCTTGGAAATTAATAGCTCTTCCCAGATCGAAACAGGACTTTCCATATCTGAATTGTTTTCCTCTTTATCTCTATTGCCAGAAAGTTGAGTATTAAGTAGAAAACTTTTTTTTAATTGGTCCATATCGTGTTTATTACCTCCTCCTTAGAGTCATTCCAATTTCTTGTCTTTATTTTCCCTGTGCTTCATTTTCTGAATATTTTCATGCATTTGACACTGCATTTATGTAATCTGCATGCAATTCTTTATCATATAAAGAGGATCTGTAAGTATGGGTGCTGGGAAGATAGTGCAGCTGGTAGGGCACTTGCCCTGCACATGGCTGATACAGGTTCCATTCCTGGCACCCCATGTGGTCCCCTGAGTCTGTCAGGAGTGATCGCTGAGCCCAGAGCCAGGAGTCAGCCCTGACCCCAGTTGGCTGTCACCCCAGAAAACAAAATAAAATAAACTAAAGAGTATTTAAGTCAATAAAAACTAGATGTATGACATAATATCTTTAAGCACACGCTGGTTTTATTTTCACTTCATCCACCTATTTTTCAGAAGGAGGGTCTCTCCCGGGCAGCACCCTGGAGCCTGGAGGTGCCGTTGTGATTCTTAGCCGGTGGGACCAGCCATTCAGTGCAGGGCCAGTGATATGCCACTGCTCTGGGCCCCTAAGGCCACCACTGGCAGTGATGGAACCCACGTGGTACTTATTATGTCCTGAGCCCTTTGTTTATCATTTCTGAGGTAAGGGTAGGTGATTTGGGCCACAAAACTGATGCTCATGTTACTCCTGGCAGTGCTGAGGGGACCACATGGGGATTCAACCCGGGTTGTCCATGTGTAAGGCAAGTACCCTACCCTCTTTACTATTGCTCTGTCTCCCAGTCTCCCATTTGTTCACCTTTTAAAGCTATCTGAAAGTATTTCAGATTTGGGAATATTATTAGAAAAGTTCGCATGGTTTTCTATTTAGGGTATCATTCAGGGAAGCATGAGAAGATTTACTATTGGGCAACAGAAGTGATGGGATTTTAAACTGCCACCACCATTGGGCGGACAGTGAACTCACCCATACTGTGGCATTGCCATCTGGAATAGAATCTACTGCCTGTTTTGTTTGCAAAGTCCTCTCTCTCTCTCTCTCTCTCTCTCTCTCTCTCTCTTTCTCACTCACACACACACACACACACACACACACACACACACACATACAACACAGCGTTCATTTCTGTGGTGCTGGTCTTCTGCCTGGTCTGTGCTCACACATGTCCCTGCTGTGATTCATCTCTGGCTTCCTTTTTCATCTGCTGGAGACCCCAGTTTATTGGTGAATAATAAGGAGCCTCAGAAAAGTCAGAGCTTTTCAAAGAGGTAACTTCTTATTTTATTATTTAAATGTTTTTGATTTTGTTTCTTAGGGCCACACCTGACTGTGCTTGGGGTTCCTTCCACTCTGCATTTGGGGCTCACTCCTGACAGGACTTGGGGGCTGTAATCGGATGCCGGGATCAGGCTGGAGTCGGGGCATGTTTTTGCCCACTGTACTACCTCTCTGGTTCCCAGCTTTTAAGAATGTAGAATTTTAGCTCCCAGGCCCAGAGACTAGTCGAAGAGTGTCTGACGAGGTGGGTTCCTGCCTCCTGAAGGCCGTGGAGGGCTTTGGGCTTGGATCCCAGGGCTGATTCTCTTCTGGCTGCCTGTGTGGAGTTGAGGGCTTCCGTTTCGTGAGGAGAGTCCTGTGCTGAGCTCAGCCAAGGCATGTGTCTGCCTGGTTCTTGCACGAATCTGAAAAGGCAGATGCTGATGATTTTGTTTTCATTAAAATTAACACATACTCCCCAAATTCAAATTACTGACACCAGTGAGAAAATCATTATTTTATTGGAATCCTAGTGGTTTCCTAGGAAGCCTTATTTTGCCCGAGAAAATTCCCAGGGATGCCACCACCCAGCTTGCATGCTGGAGCTCAGGGAATGAAAGACTCACCTCCCAGGCTCGAACCTTTATTCACAGAGATGTCACTTCCCTCCCTTCGTGGCTGTCCTGGGGTGAGGCTGCATGTGGGGTGCCACAAGCTCTGTGTAGGGGAGGGCTCCAGTCCCCAGCCTACAGGCCAGACCCGGGCCTGCCCTCCCTCTGCTGCTAGGTCCCTCAAGTTCCCTGCAAGGATTCTTGTAAAGAAAGTTTTGAAAACTTTACATTTTCGTACTTTTATGATTAAAATTGCATACCTCACAGCATCTCAAGTTACTTAACACCCCATGAGTTGTTTGGGAATATTTGAATTGCCATGGCAACAGGGGACTAATTTTCAAACTTCTGCCTGTCCTTCCTGACTGACTTGCCTTGCAAATGAGGTGGTCTTCTTCCCTTGCAGAGATAAAATATCACCTGCAATTTGGCAGATTTCTCCAGCCCTGGCATACCAGTGATTAGTGAATGTTTTCCATGTGCTTTTGTGCTCCTCCCTTCCATTTCCTTTTTTTTTTTATTTTGGGCCAAACCTGGTGATGCTCAGGGGTGACTCCTGGCTCTGCACCCTGGAATCACTCCTGAGAGTGCTCTGGAGATCATACGGATGCCAGGGATTGCACCCGCTCGGCCGTGTGCAAGGCAAGTGTCTCAGTTGCTGTGCTCTCCCTCTGGTCCCTACTTTTCTCTTTTAGCTCAGTTCAGTTTCCTAAGGAGACTCCACTTGCTTCTTGGGCCGTTGATTTCCCTTACGCTCAGCGAGAAAGTCGATGTGTTGCTGCTCCACATTCAGCAGTAGCAGAGCCTGCAAATGTCTTCCAAAAAGCTCAGAGCAGGCTCATCCCAAGTTCAGGATCCTGCCTCACATCTTCTGTGTTTTTTTTTCTTGAGTCACACCCAGTGTCACACAGGGGTTACTCCTGGCTCTGCATTCAGGAGTTACTCCTGGAGGTGCCCAGGGGACCATATGGGATGCTGGGAGTCGAACCCGGGTCGGCCGCGTGCAAGACAAATGACCTACCCGCTGTGCTATTTCTCCATCTCAGGTCTTCTATGTTTAAAGGTGATGGCAGAGAGGCAGAGTCGAGGCGAGGGCGGGGCTGGGGCGAGGGAATACACTTTCCTCTTCTGCTTCAGGTCAGTTGGAGGTGTAGTTGGCTGGTGGGACAGAGCTCCAGTCTCCTTCCTGACTGGCGTCTGACGCATCTGTGCGCCATGCAGGCTCTCCTCACCCGCCCCGCTGAAGGGTGCATCTCTCACCTCACGTGCTTTCATGTCGCCCTCCCTCTGATATCTCACAGCTTTCATTTATGTAACAGTCTTTCTAACCAGAGGCAGCTGGTTTTACATTAGCTACCTGAAACCGATTTGTTCTGTTGTTGAAGGTTTGGATTTTT